TCACGTAGTCATCTCAATGCACAAATACCAGTGTCTTTACATTATTTCATTAATAAAGATAGAGACTTTAAACACCTAATCTGCTGTTGGTAATATCCTCAATCTCATCAATTACATAATGAGCCTAAACCAGGTGTTTTTCTGTTTTCAAAAGCCATGGAAACCATACAGCTGGAGAGGTTTGATGAGTTTGGTTACACCTACATCGCTCCAAGGTGAGTGATCCCGACACTACTGTACAACCCACTTTCACTATACACGAACAAACAAGGGACTGAGATTGAAAGTGATCAATACTGTTTCCTCAGGGAGTACTGCAAAGAGCTGAAGTTGTCACTCAACAACACCCAGTTTCTCCTCGACTTCAGTCAGTACATCGATAGAAACACCCCAAATGCATGTGAGTCATCCAACGTTTTTGCTGTTATTTCACTTGACACATTTGCAGTGGTTTTAATGTCAGTTTGCTGCATTGTTTTAAATCGTATAACTATTCTAAAATCCACACAATGTCACCTAAAGCAATATACACTGTGTTGCATTGTGATGTGTACATGCATGGTACGTTTTATTGTTAGTCATGGTAGAATTTGCCACTCTGATATCACGTTGGTTAGCATCTGAAGGTCAGAGCATGACTTTGGTCATTAGATTAGTACTGTGTAATTCGAGTGACATCAGTATGATCCACTAAGATTCCTAGAAGCCCAATGCTGTCATGCTACACAGTGACTCATGATGTTGGATTTGTCATCATCTAATGGATCTCCCCTCTAGTATGGCTTACCACCATCATCCAGCTAATGGATTTAGGTATACTTGTTCCATTTCAAACTGAGGTCAAGTCATATACTTAGGCATTAATGCCTTTCCTGATGCTGTTTGTGGAGTACAGTATGTTCTCACAATAGAGCTTTTGCGAAAAGTTATGGACATAAATGAAAACAACACTCAAGATAAACTGTATGCTAACGTTATTATTTTTTGAAAAGTAATTTTCTTCACACTGGGGTTTGAACTCAATACCTTGGCATAATCTGTCTCTTAAAGCTACAAAAACTAATCCTTCAGAAAGTACTTCCTGCTGTCTGACAGTCTAATGGTCACTCAGAGAAGACCTACAAAAACATGTCTCCCTGCTGGACAATTTCCTGATAAATTGGCATGAGATCAAGTTAAGTGCTTTGCTCAGTGGCACGTCAGTAGTAATTCTTGTGCAGGCCAAAAGCAAAACATATTCATCTCCCCTGCCCGGACTTAAACAATAGGTCAGTCATGTTACCATTAACATATTTAAACTACTAAGCATTGTTATTGTATTGTATGTAAAATGTATCTTGTCTTTAATCTGTAGGTAATGTGTCCCTGGTGAGTCGACTAATCCTGGATGCAGGTCTGACAGCTGAACTGGTTAAACTTTGGAAGGAGCAGACAGTGTGAGTGCCAAAACTTTCTGCTCCTCTCTGTTTTAAGCAATGCAAAGATAAAGTTAAAAAGTGAGTATATTTTCTATGGAAATCTGCATTGCATGTGTACACTATTGCTTTGTACCATAGCTGATGCTTATTTCATGCACAATTTACTGACAAACTGAGCCAGAGTTTTTCTTTTCTACTCTGGGTGATTCGATCATGTCCAACTAGTGAAACGTGATAAAAGCAAAGCACAAAATGCATATCACACCCAACCATACTCTGCCTCTGCCAAGACATGCTGTTTTGAGAGGAAAATAAAATAATTACATCAGTGTGTTTCTTTTCATGGTATGCCCACTTGTCTGAAATAATCCAAAAGCACATTTCCACATACACTGCAGGGTATCTGTTTAATATTAGGACATATAGAGACAAGTGACTTTGGGCATAAAACAATTTGTGTCGTGTCTGCAGCTTGATCTCACAGTTCACAAACACTTTTTTATAATATGTGCGATTGACTTTGATGTTTGACTGGCTGTTGTTTTCCATCTTCTCAGGGATGGGATACTGGCCAGGTTTGTAGCTACAGATGGAGGAATCACAAGAGTCTACCCAAGAAGGTACTCTCCCCTCATTCTTCTCAGTTTCACTTCCAGCATTAGCTCTGGTGTTGTAAAATAACACGCGAAGCGTTGCCCAAATAACTGATGGTGTAAATGTGTGAGATGAAAATGGATACAGACTGTAATACTCTTAGGTTGAGCGCTTTTGGCTGCTTTACTCACCTACTCCACTGGGTTATTTTCCAGAACATAGAGGATTAGACACTTTTAGCTGAACTCCCAGAGCTTGCCAGGCCAGAATAGGACATGGGTCACATCCACAGATCCAGCAGCCAAATGCAGCTCATTTTTCTCAATTTCCTTGCTGCTACTTTTGTCTGAATTACACTTGGGGGTTCCACTTGGTCAGAATACACCATTCCAGCTGAAGATGAATGCATATTCTTTCCAACAATAAAACATGAAATACAATCAGTTATTGCTTTTACTGGATCATGCCCTTGACATATATCAACTACATTGGGTGTGACTCCTATTTCAATGACTAACATTTGGCTGTAGATTAAAATATAAATTGTTTGGATAGATCACGCATATTTGCTTGGTGTTTTATGCCTATACTGGTCCATATATAATAGTATGTGACTGTATTAATGTTTTTAGTGCTGGGGAAGAGTGGACTGAGAATCCTGAGACATATGAGTCCAGCTTCTACAAAAGGACCCTGGACAATGAAATTTATATTTTCACAGCTCCATCTTTCAACAGTAAGTTTTCTGAACGGTTTGAATATGTGTAGTTGTGCACACTTTTCTGTGCGTGAGGATCTTCAGTGTGGCCTGGCACTGAGCCTAGCCTGCTCTTTCCCCTTGGACGTCATCCCAACCTTACTGGCAAAGATCACACTCTCAGGCCTCTGATATCACTCTCTTTATCCTTCTCCTTTTCCTGCTGTGTCTTTCAGCGATCATCACCACCCTCCCTCCTCCCTGCCCTGTATACTTCCTGTTATCTGCACTGATCTCTCTAACAGACATCAGGACAGGCATACGTCAGTGTAATGTAGCCTTGCTTAAAGCTACACTTGACTGGATTAGCACATGTACTGGCTTCACAGTCTGCACTCCACTTACATAAATTACAAGCAGCTAAGAATGCATGGAATTTCCCACAACGGATAGCGATTATTCCTGTTTAACTGTGATTCACATTCTAAAATGTTCTTGCTATGTACTTTTAAACATGATCTCAGTTAAATTGCCATGATTATTGGTTACCTTCCCTTGTGTATCCCTTCTCAATTGCAGCAGAGAGCAGGGAGGCTGTTTCTGAGTCAGGTATTCTAGTGAGCAAAGCAGTGGACCTCACGATTGACGAAGTCACGCTCAAACCAGCAGGTCAGTCTTTCTAATACCATACTGATGACTTTTTGTGATGCAACATATATGAAATCACCCATTGGCTATTAATCACAGTTGTCCCTGTTTTGTGGTTTGTTCTGTAGTGGTGGGAGTGAAACTCAATGTCTCATTCTGGATGAACAGTTTCATGAATGCTACACTGAAACTGAATGTAAGTTGTGTTAATAAAGTGTATTTGTATTGCATTAACACTTTTATCACACTTTTATCTATTGGTGTACAGTACTAATTTCTTGTCTGACTCATGTTTTACCTTTTAGTGCAAGGATGAGATTTGTGGCTGTCTGAGGAATGACAAGGTACAACAACAAAGTTTTTCTAAACTGAGAACTCTTTTTTGTTTTAAACATATTGTTGATTGTCTTCACTAAGACGTTTTTTATCCTTTCCATGGTTGTGGTAACAGCCTTGATTAGGACTCTTATGTTACGTTACAGGAATAATCCATTATGATAACCTTTGCCTACAGTGTATTTATGTATTTAAGCTTAATTAGTAATCTCTTTTTAAAAGACTCAGACTATTTTCAATGTCCACATTTTTATCACTTATTTCATTTTCAAACTGTTCACATGTTTACCCTGCAGCATGTAGACTGCGTGATCCTGGACGATGGCGGATTTCTTCTCATGTCCAATCAGGATGAGTATATCACCCTGGTGAGTTACCATTAACCATTTTCCTTATCATGATCATGTTTAGTTTAGCTACTGCTGTCTTTATCTAAATGGTCAGTAAGTGATCATTAACCATTACACAATAATGCTGCCTTCACATGAGGTTGCGTTACCGTGTTCATGAGAATAGTCGAAATGAAGCTCCCCTTGTGGTATTCACAACCTCCAAGGGGAAATTTTCAGAAATTTCTAAGAGCTTTGTAACCACAAGCTTACAGGTTCCATGTGAAGGCAGCATAAAACATCTGTAGTCTCATAGTCAGAAAGTTAAAATCAAGGACTTTGCCAGAATTCATATTTCTTTTCTCTACCTTTCTACATACCTAGCTCCTCTTTCCTTTGTCACAGGGATCCGTCAGTCTCATGCAGGTCAAATATAGGGCTTATGAGTCAGCTAAGTTATGAGAATGGCCTGTTAGCTCTGAGCTGTTTGAAAGCTCCAGCAGTACATACATGTCTCCAGTAAAGTAAAGCACTAGCCAGTAGAGGAGGATCAAAGGAAAGGTTCTGATGGGTCTTAGTCAGTTATGGAAGCTATAGTGAAGTGAATCCCCCGTGTATGTAAGAAGTCAGCTCTGCTGTGTTAACTCCAGTCTTTCAGGCTACTATAGGCCCTTGTGTGTCAGCGGTAGAATATACAGTGGGCTTGGAAACGTTTCATGTTTGTCAAGACAGGACATCTGTTCTTTGATCCATTCTGCCATCACAATGTCTGGCAAACAGTTTATGGTCTTCAAGCATTTGAATAAGCACCTTCCAATCTCTTTTTCACATCTTGTGATACATTTGGTGTCCACTGGGATCATGAATCAGAATTGTTTGGCTGTCACTCCTCTTTACATACCATCTTTACATATCTGCTTATCAAACATTTTTGTAGATTTTATATGCTCAGCCCTGTAAGAATAAGTTCATTCATACCTAAGCCTGCCCCTAGAAAATAAGACCAATCCCCTGATTGCTCATCCACCAGGTGTTTAACTACTTGTGAAACTACATAGGTTTTACTGTAATCATGGGATTATCAATATGTGCCCTTCCTTCTATTTTACACCGGCTTCACCTTTAAACTGGTATTTTGGTTCAAATAACATAATACAAGCGTAAACCAAAAAAAATGGTTGAATGCCTAAGGACGTAAATGCTAATTTTCAGTGCAGTGATGTGGCTAAGCCTAAAAAGCCCTGTCAGAGAAAATAATACATAGCTGTATGTTTTGTTTGCACAAGCACCACCCTACACTGCTTTTATTGTTTGTTTGTTTGTTTGCTTTTGTCATCTAGATAGGTCAGTTCTTTGGCGAGGTGGATCCTGTGCTGATGGTCAACCTGGTCAACACCTCCCTGTACTCCTTCAACAAGACCTATGACTACCAGTCTGTCTGCGACCCAGAGAGAGACAGCAAGGCTGCAGCAGGACCCCGCTCCGTCTATGTGGTTAGATACTCACTGACACGATCCGCCTGACAGCAGTTACCCTATCTATCTAATGATTAGTGCTTACACGTTTATGCATTTACACCATTTTAGCCTTTATTATACATTTTGGTAGGGATGGGGCTAATATTGCGATTGTGAATCATATTTGTTTTGGATTTCATTAGCGTAATATTATATAATATAAAATACAAAAAATCATGACAAAATGTGTTTTTGTTGTTGTCCCTACCTGCTTTATTTTGGAATTTATTTTCCTGTCCCTTTCCAGCCTACCATTGCGGACTTCCTCAGTATTGGTTGGTGGGCCTCCAGTGCTGCCTGGTGAGTGTACAGGTTGTTTGTTTTGTGTTTCTGTGTATTTTTATTCTTCCACTTTTTGTGTTTGTTTGTGTGTGCGTTTTAGAGTGGGAGTACATTTGTACTTAAGGGTAGGAGTTTGTTTGGGAGTGGGCTTGTATTTTGTTGAGGGTCAGTATAGGACATGGGCAGTTACACAACATTATACTGCATCACTACCTGTATGACTGCAGTATAACCAGATTTTGAAAATAGAATGACTGTTACTTTCCTTGGCATTTACATCACCAGTGATTCTAGCCTTAGACAGATGTGTGGCCGTTATTAAACAGTGTTTGGTTGTTCAGTGTCAATAAGTTTAACATGGTCTACTGACTCATCCGTGTGACTCATTTTGTTTTTTTCCTTCCCTGTGTCTAGGTCGATACTACAGCAGCTGTTCTTTGGTCTCATGTTCCCCAACTTTCTACAGGCAGGTGGGTAACAAATTCTGTGATTGTGTAAAATGTAACCGTCAGCCTTATTTATATGAGAAAACTGTATTTGGTCAATTTTAATCTCATACATTTTCACAAATCTTTTCCCCTATTTTTCTTTATCAAACCTGTGTCTTATTTCCAGCGGAGTCAGCAGATGAAGATATACCAGATGCCATGTTTAAGGAAAGCTGCATCACAGAGCAGACTCAGTACTTCTTTGACAATGATGAAAGATCCTACTCAGGTGTACTGGACTGTGGAAACTGTTCCAGGTATGTGAGAGTTTATTTTTGTTATTTTTGTGATTTTATGTAAAAATCTTCTTCCATGTGCTTCTATTTCTGTGGCTCTATCCACTCATACTGTAAATCGTTGCCAATATTAAAGATTTTCCACCTCTTACTGTATCTTTCTCCTGGATATCCTTCTGTTTAATGGTCTGCAGGGATGGGTCCAGAATAGGGTTAGTTTCCTCTTTCTGTTTTCCAGCCTGATTTTAGGCAGCTGTTTTCTGATGAGTTCTGATCAGACACAGATTACCTTGATCTGTCAGTGACCGGAATTGCAGAGGGAGGCACAAAAGCTCTTTTATCTGTTTTTCTTCCTTCGCTCTCTGGCTATACTTCAAACTCACTAACACACACATTCACGGACCACTGCACATTTACTTTGCTCTAACCTCCTTTTGTGTCAATTTGGGCTGTCGGTGGGGGTTAAATATGGCTGTAATTACTGGGTGTTATGAGTCCCACGTGTCTGGTACTTTACTCCCCAATGTTAACGACTGTAGACACAAAAACTTTCATGACTACCATAAAAAGCCAATCCTCAAGTGCAGAGAAGAGGTATAAATGTCTACATATGTGCACAACTGCACACATACGTGCATGTGTATGCAGCATATACTGTATATTCTAAATGCAAATGCAGTCTATTGTAGATAATTTGTTATTGCATGTAAATTGGAGCTGCATGATATCCTCACACCACAGGTATTTTACTGTTTGAATACTGTATAGACTGTTTACCAGTATGTGTGTGTGGCCATGTGTGCTTTCTAGGATGTATCGTGCCGAGAAGCTGCCTAACACCAACCTGGTGTTCCTGATCACTGATGCCAAAGCAACGTGTTTGTCGTGTGACCCCAAGCCGCTAAGACAGGCCGAACAACCCTGTATCCTTTCACTCAACTCGTAAAAATCGAACATAGAGTTACACTTCCTTTTTACTTTCCAGCCCTCCATCCATCACCCTTATGACAGTTGGGCTTTAAACTCTCAATACAAGGACACACACCTAAGGAGTTTGCAGCAGGTCCCCACTGAATGTTCACGGGTGAACAGTAAACCAGATGCACACATATTAAAGCCTGTCTCACATTACTCCCAGATTAGATTTCTTTGTTTTAATTCATCTGGGCTGTATGCTGCCATCAGGTTGAATTAAGGTTAAGTGCAGCAGTGTGTTTGTGTGTGTGTACAATATAAGTGTGTGTGTGTGTGTGTGTGTGTGTAGGTGTGTTTGTGTGTGTGTAGAGTTTGAATTTTTTCAGGATATCTGTTTGACAGATGTGTCTTGAATGTAGCTTCCTGCTGGTGTAACAGTACAGGTGTCATCATCAGAGGTCGCCATGGGGTCCCAGCAAGGGCCTCCAGTTGCTAACAAGGACACCACTCAACACACACAAACACTGACACACATACACTGCACACATGTTGCTCTATCACACTAAATACATATACACAAACAACTTATTGATGAGGATTTATTTTAAATGTCTTCATAAGAATACATTGTTTATTTTATCAGGGACACAATGAATAACTTACTCACAATCGCTACTTCAATACTGCTGGACCACAAAAAGTAGCATGTATAATTATTTCTTTTTTGACTTCTTTTATTTGAATCTCTCTTAGATGTTAATGGAGGAGCAGCAAATATCTGGAAAACAATAAATCAGGGTATCTCTAGCCAAGGCTAATGATGAGTTGGAACTACATAATGTTTTTTTGGCCTGGGAAATCAAGAGTCAGCACATCATTTATTTGTTGTTGTTAAAAGTGTTAAATGTGCACTGTCATTCATAAATCACATTTTCCTGAGAGTGGAATGTCCAGCTGAAGGTCCGGATCCATGTGAGCTGGCTCAGAATCCCAGATACCGCAAGGGACCAGACGTGTGTTTTGACAACAATGAAAACGTAAGACACAACCACACATGTGCCTTTGTGCAGAGAATATTGCTGCGAGCAGCTCTATTAGTGAGGTTTCACAGTTGACTTCTCTCAATCTCTGTCTGGTTTTCATCAGCATTCAGCACTGTTGGCTGCCTTCTCTAACACCCCATACTTGATTTATTCATCCAGTTTATATTTTATCTATTAATTTGTAATTATTTTTATTTCATGGATTTTGCATGCAATTATCACTCAATTATCTTTTATTTCTCTTGCTTCATGTGATCTTTTCACTCATCATCTGCCATTCTTGTTTTGTGATTCTGCATCTCAATGGCTGCTGCACTTGTCTGCTAGGATGAGCCCCTGTGTCCAATCAGCAGAGGTTCTACATTGAGCCCCACACCTCTCTTGTTGTTTCTGGTGCTAAGTTCAGGGTCAGTGTTCACACACAGCTTCATGCAGCTTCATTACTGACTTATAACCACTATGATCTTTACTGTTCCTGGGACACCACAGTGTGCTTGACAGGGGAAAATCAGGCACTACAATGGCATGCTGATCGTCACAGTATTGATGTAAATATTTCTTATGTAATATTTGCTGGGTAGTATCTGGGTCATTACTCATTTAACCTATTGTACAACCATTCAAGCTCCCACAATCTGAGTAACATGGCCTCTGAGACTATAACCAACCTAATCTATTGTGTTACTTAGGATGATCCATATGAATAACTCTCAAACAAACACATAGATTTATGCACATTTACATTTTTATTATATTCATATGTTTATATATTTATTGATTTTGCATTTACCAGTTGTTTTTACATACATAATATAATTTGAGAAGGAAATGGCCCACTAGTATCAAACATACTGTAATAACAAACAATTGGGATTTATTCCTTGGCTGCATGCCTTTCTCCTCAACACAATGCTACATCTTTCTTTGGCATCTTGTTTTTTTGTTTTGTTTTAGTTTCTACTGCTGTTTACCCCAGCAGATGGAGAGCTGACTGAATCTTGGCAGTTAAAAGCGTTAAATCAATTCGACGTAATAGCAGCACAAAACTATGTATGTGTGAATATATCTACAGTCATAGTCTATTTATTTAGAACTTTTAAATGCTTTGTAAACTTCAATATGTAAGCACATATGGATGTATTTTACCTCAAACTGAGAAATCTTTCAGTTTTACGGATTTCAACGCAATAGTGAGACCCGATACAGTAGCAAAATTCCCTTGAAAAGATCTGATGTAAGTTCATGTATTGTACCATTTGAGCTAAATCAGTAAAACAAAGGAGCGAGGTGGATACATCATGTGTGAGATCATTGCATCACCACCCAACTTTAAAAGGTTTATAAGACGTCTAAATATTTGGAAAAATTATTTCCCATATTTTTGTGAACTCTTTCATTGTGTTCTAAAGGCGTAGATCACAAACATAACAGGCCACTAATTCATGTGCCCTGCATGTTTATATTGTGGAGAGGCTGTGCTGGGGAGCAAAGGGAAGGGGAGGAATGGCTGAGGAAGTAGATGAACAGAGTAAAAGTAGGCCGCGTCCCTTTTCCTCTTTCCATCTGTCCCATTACTTTTGGCTGAGCTCCTTATAGGAAGACAGTTTGTGTCTAAGCCAGTCCATTTTGTCACTGGTGTAAACAGAGGAAGTCCCACATGGCTTTCCTGCCCTTTGAATACAGAAGACTCCCACCTCTTTCTCCTAGGCCTTTGGCATGCACGGATATCCTGAATACTCCCATCAAATACAAAAAAAAGCCACACACTGTCGTGGGCAGGTACATGTGCATACACACACATGCACGAAAAGCAGAACGAGGTCCGGAACACCTCTATAACTGCAACACAGCATTTAAATGAATAGTTCATTTTGGGAAATACGCTTCTTTGCTTTCTTGCCAAGAGTTAGATGTGACACTGATCTGTTAGTTTAGCTGGAAGGCTGGAAATGGGGAAACAGCTAGCCTTGCTCTGCACCCTGTCAAGACATAGTCCGCACATATTCCCTGTAGAACCACTAATGGTTGTTTTTACATTTCAGTTTTTGTATGGATTGAACTAGAGAGACTGAACATGTAAATGAGTGAGCTTTTGAGTTACTGGTGTATGGATTTTGATACCTTTTGACAGAGCCAGGCTAGCTAATTACTGTTAATACAGAGGTAGTGATGATGGTGGTAGTCGTAGTAGAGCTACTGGATGTAGGTGAAGACTGTTACATTTATTGACAACTGATTTGTCCAACAGGAAGATGATTCTGATTGTGGAGGAGGGACCTGCCTAAGCCCGTGTCTGTGGGCAATGCTTGGGCTCCAACTACTGCTGCTGTGGCTCATCACATCATTACAACACTCATGACCCCTACACACACAGACACACACACTCACACACTGATCGTCATCTCATTTCACAAGAAGCCGGAAGACACTCCAGTTATGCCATCCAGGATGTATGCAGAATATTTGCAACAAGACATTTTTATCAGCATTTCCATTTTCCAATGCCAAAGGGTGCTCATTCATTTCCTCCTTGTCATTTTCAAAAATAGAGACACATTTACTGTGCTCGGCTGCACTCATTTCCATGATATACTCCTTAATACTGGTGCAAGAGTAAGAGCTAACCAAACCCTTTAATTCTGCCTAATTTGTTTTTTGTTCTAAATTATTTAGCGGAGGTTGAAGAGTTGTCCCACTATGCCAATTAAATATCATTCAAAGACTGTATGTTCACTGACAGCGTTGATTTGTGTAGTTGTCGATATTGTTTGTTGCTTATTATATTGTGTATGAATCATTATGCTGTAATGATCGTTTATTTTGGAATCCAGTGCAACTATGAAGAATATCCCTTTTGTTTGAGTGTTTTTTAAATGTACTGTACCTATCTATTTATGTTTTTGTTCTTTTTTTACTCAACTAGCATTTTGTGACTAGCTAGGTGTTGTATTGTAGCAGCATGTGCTCAGTACAGAGCTAAAGACAACACCGATACTCTGACACCAAAGCTCCACACAGTACCAAGGACCACAAATACACACAGACCTACTACAGAGAATCTGCAGGCTAGTTTATTTAAGAGATTCCTCAGACGTGGGTGTACATCAGTATTCAAGTTACGTTGTTAGTTAGGTAGATAGATATCTTAGATACCTCGCTGGGAAATAAGTGAGGTCAGAGAGCACATATGTGAATCAAATCTATTAGGATATTACTATTTCAAATATGTTTGTACTTGGTCTGACAGCTTTGGTTGTCTTCAATTTGATGCATCAAATTCCCAGTGCCTAAATAGTAGCTCAAACAGTCTGTTATCTGAATGAAGCAATGCATCAGAGTTGTATTCTTACCATGTATGCTTCTATGCTAATGCTTGCTGCAGTATAGCAGACAGGGTAGCCCTTGCAGTGATACGTTGTGAAATGGGCCAATTCTGCTGCAGATATTCAAATTTATGTGGCCCAGGCAACAGTCATAAACAACCAGTGATTTTGATTGTGGGAGAGGAATATCATTTTCCTCCATGGTCAAAGGCTTGAGCTTGTGTTCCAACACCTTTCTTTATTAGTCCTGTTTCTGTTACCTTTCTGGATCACCAGACTCAGGAGCCAAGATGACTTGTGAATGAGATCAGCGTAACAAAATGACTGTTTTTTTTTTCTTCTCCTTGCTGTTCTCCTCCTTATGCTTGTTTCCTTTTTGTGTTGCTCTATAAAGTGCTGTGAAGCAGACACTGAAGGCTCAGTGTCGAAACGCTGCAATGTCATGGGATAAGCTTGTTCTGTGTTTGAACGCTATCTATGCCTATGGTCAGCATCCGGGCCTTTTGGAGAGAATTTTGAGAATACACTATTACCAGTGGTAATTTTGCATTGCCTTACTTTACGACGGGTCATAAAGGTCACACATAAGTATTTTAGTTTTAGCCATTTTAAAAATGAAAGTTGAGTTCTCTCCATCTCGCCTTCATGGTGAGCTGCTGGTGTTGAGTGTTCAAGTTATGCCTGTCTATCAAAGTCGCGTGTTGACTTGTGTTTTACCCTGAGGGTCCCGTGTCTATGTGCAGGCATGTGCGTGTCCCTCCGATATCTGATTGTGCTTTATTACTGTACATGAATTACTCTTTTGTGGAACTAGCCTGAATAAATTTTGTATACATTTGTACACTAATACTATTTACTGTATAAAAGAGAAAATGAAAGAAAAGAAAAATGTTTATAATATGGTGTTGATTATTGTGCAAATATAATATATTCACAATAAAAGTGTTGTATTGTTATGACCTGAGGTGCTTATTTTTATTCTGTCACATCTGGCCATTTTTCTTTGGTTCCACTGGGAGCAGACCAAACATGTCATCTTTCCTGCACAAGAGACAGCTGCAAAAAAAGGGAAGTGCATCTTTTATTCACTGTGTCTGTGTATGAAGTAAGTGTGATTGCTACTTTGTCAAATAGTCCTGTACCTTTTGGTAATTTTAGTATCTAATAATTTACGGGTGTGGTCAGAGGTGTGATATGTTGCACACACAGTGATGTACTGACACATCCTACTGAATGTATTTTTTTTACTATTATTATGTTATGTAATATAAATCCAACATATAGAAATCAATCCAACATCTTTTAATCTTGCTTAATAAAGTTATTCATTAACAATTTATTTCAGTAAAAAACACAGATCAAACAGTACAAATAGTACATTGTTTTCAGTGAATAAATGTATAAGTGTATGTGTGATGACAGCATGGCAAAGCGTGTCCCAGTGAATTCTGACTGAGGTCCTATTCCCTGTGTTTCTAATTTTGTGACCTCGGCCAGCAGCATTATTGAAACAGACAGACTGCAATCTCCTGCCTGGAGCAGCAGTAGGAAGCCAGATGCTAACACCAGAGTTACAGAGCAGTTGTACACTACTTGTGCTTTACTTGATGGTATTTGTGTTTATCTGATGGTAATCTAAGAATAAATATGGCCTCAGTTTTAAGTGAGAGTATAAAGACGTTTGTTTTTCTTGGAGATTTGTCAGACTGGGAGGTCCTCGTATGTGTGCTATATAGCAATATCTAGAAGGGAGGTTGTAATGGGATACTCTTGTAAATGGGGACGGGGTCGTAGCCTTTAACATGCCTGGCTTAAGAAGTTACAGACGCAGGAAAAGCAGGGACAAGTTCTACATCTCTTTTCAATTTGTAATTTGTAATATTTCTTAAGCCACAAGAAG